AAGCGTAATACAACGAAGAGGGTAAAGGGACTGTAAGCGTAATACAACGAAGAGGGTAAAGGGACTGTAAGCGTAATACAACGAAGAGGGTAAAGGGACTGTAAGCGTAATACAACGAAGAGGGTAAAGGGACTGTAAGCGTAATATAACGAAGAGGGTAAAGGGACTGTAAGCGTAATTAAGTGACCCTCAATGCAAAGATGGGGATACCCGATTCACAACGGTACTTATAAAAGCTTTGTCTGATAAATTATGGTTTCTAATTTCCAAAACTGATTATTTACAATTGTGGGTTTTCTACAAAAGTGACTTGCGCATTTCTTCTGCAGAAAAAATATAGGAATTACCAGGATTTAACAATTTTGAACCTAGAAAAATGAAAATATCTTCCACATTATTGATCAGATAAACGTTTCAAGGGAACCGTTGTGACTCCAATTCTTCTACATGAAGGTGACTTACAGTTCCTTTAAATCAACTTCGAAATGAGCACTGTACAATTTGCTATGCAATGTGTATGACCCCCATCCCCTACTGTCCCCCCCTTCATTAATTGATTTAACATACTTTGCAAGTACATAACCAAGCATTTTCTGATAATATTACTTACCACGCATTAAAAGCTTTTAAAAATAACATTAAACAATTTTTGTTTGAAATAAAATAGTAAAAACCTATTTTTGTTGTTGTAAAACCAAGAAAAAAAAGAAAGTACAAAGTATTTAAAATCAGCAGTACAAACTCAAGTGCTGAGGGATTAACCTGATATCCATGAAATCTTCATATTTTATCAATTCTCCGTAATCATCATACTTGGTCTTCTCCTCGTGGAACGGGAACATAGGGTACCTGTACCAACAACACAATATCAATCAATCAAACAAATTCATTAACCAATCAATCAGCCATACAATAAAGACTATTAATTTAATTAATCAATTAAATGATGTAGCATACCTAGATTTATTTGATTTAAAGAACCCTGTCTGTTTCTTCAAAGCTTCCGGTTTCATGACAATATCATGTTTAACTTTAGCACCAGATCTGAAGTAAGCTAAGTTATAGTAAAGCTGTCTGATCTATGAATTAAATCAGGTTATGGAGGGAAGGAGATGTAGGAACATGGAAGAGGTTAAATAGGAATATAATGGAATATGCAGGGATGGCAGCAGATGGAATAAAATAGAAGAAGATGGAAAGGGTTAAATAGGAATATAATGGAATATGCAGGGATGGCAGCAGATGGAATAAAATAGAAGAAGATGGAAAGGGTTAAATAGGAATATAATGGAATATGCAGGGATGGCAGCAGATGGAATAAAATAGAAGAAGATGGAAAGGGTTAAATGGGAATATAATGGAATATGCAGGGATGGCAGCAGATGGAATAAAATAGAAGAAGATGGAAAGGGTTAAATGGGAATATAAAGGAATATGAGGGGATGGAAGGAGAAGGAAGAAAATGGAAGAATATAGAAGGGGAAAAATGGAAGAATAATGGAACATGAGGGGATGGAAGAAGACGGAATAAGATGGAAGGGGATAAATTGGTATAAAATTGGAATATCAGGGGATGAAAGGTGATGGAGGGGAATGAAAGGAAAAAGAAGGGGATAGAAGGGGGTTGAATGTGATGGAAGGGAATGAAAGGAAAAATAAGGGGATAGAAGGGGGTTGAAAGTGATGCGAGGGGAATAAAGGAAAAAGAAGGAGATAGAAGGGGGTTGAAGGTGATGGAAGGGGATGAAAGAAAAAATATGGAGATAGAAGGAAGTGGATTGTGATGGAAGGGAATGAAAGGAAAAAGAAGGAGATAGAAGGGGGTTGAAAGTGATGGAGGGGAATGAAAGGAAAAATAAGGGGATAGAAGGGGGTTGAAAGTGATGGAAGGGAATGCAAGGAAAAATAAGGGGATAGAAGGGGGTTGAAAGTGATGGAAGGGAATGCAAGGAAAAATAAGAGGATATAAGGGGGTTGAAAGTGATGGAAGGGGATGCAAGGAAAAATAAGGGGATAGAAGGGGTTGAAAGTGATGGAAGGGAATGCAAGGAAAAATAAGGGGATAGAAGGGGGTTGAAAGTGATGGAAGGGGATGCAAGGAAAAATTAGGGGATAGACAGGGTTGAAGGTGATGGAAGGGAATGCAAGGAAAAATAAGGGGATAGAAGGGGGTTGAAGGTGCTGGTTTGGGATGAAAGAAAAACTAAGAGGAATGAAATAAATAAGTGGGAATAAAAAGTAAGTGAAAAAAGATATAAATGAATAGGATAAAAGAGACGGATAATATGGGCGTACTTGCTAATAGTAGTATCCATATCATCATCAGAATCACTAGACTCGTCCAGGGCTTCCTCAATGATAGCTGAGTGTGTTTTCTTATTCTGATCCCGCTCCTAAAAAAAGTAATAAAAATAATAACAATCAACTATCATCGGCAGAAGTATTTACTTTCAATTAGAAATTGCCCGGGAAATTGAAAAGTTTGACATCAAAGTTAAAGTTTTTCATTCTTTAGACACTTTTTACCAAACATTTTATTTATTTTCTCCAGTTTAGCGAATAAAACACTATTTTTGTGTGTGCAAACATAAATAACTTTAAAGAGAAAAAGTGTTTTCAAAAATGGGGGCTAAATATAAAGTATACAATATACACCCCTGTTCACCGGATATCAAAATGACCGTCAATAGAATAAATAGAAAGAAGGCATTGGACAATAAAACAGAATTAATTTAATAAGGTCTAAAAAAAGAATTAAAAGAGTAGAGAAGACAGATGCAGAACACGCGGGAGAATATACAAAAACTGCTAATTCAAAAAATATATACAAGTGACAAAAGAAAAGAATAACATTTAAAATATCCAACATAATTGACTAAATAAATGATATAATTGAGAATATAGTAATATAGAATACGGAAAAGAATAAGAGAATATTTATAAAATTCTAAAATATAGGGAAATTAGACATTTAATCAGCAAATAATGCCATAAGTTTTTCCATTATAACCAACCTTTGAACGAAATTCGTGTATTACCTTTAATCTGTACTGTTCCAGTTCTGTTCCGGTCAACTTGACTCGGTGCTTGACCTCTAGACTGACTACACGGTCACCACCGTTGGTTATGAGGTCGTCACCCAGGGTTCCCTTCCCACACCTGATTCAAGATACAGTACCTTATTTTTTTACAAGCAAGGGAACCAAGAGTGCCCCAGGGGAGTCATAGTTCGTCCCACCGTTTACACGACCCTTGTCGTAAATTACGTTTTAGGCATTTTTCCCGCTAGAAGTGAACCCACTCAGCTTAGAATCTCAAAACCTAGCTGAGAAAATTCCCGTGGTTCCCCCGGAGTTCCCTAATCAAACTGTGAGGCAAATCGATCCAGGGGTGCCTGAGTTAAGATCGGACAAACAAACCAAGAAACAGAGATTACAACTTTATATATGGATAAAATGATATAGTGAATAATGACCTAAACTGAGCGACAGATTTCTCAATAAAAGCATGAAAAAGGGTTTAAACATGCTGCTTAAAGAAACTGTATGCATAATTTCATGTGACCCTAAATTTCAAGATGGCAATGCCCGATTTACAATGGTACCCTTGAAACATAATCTGATCAAAAATACAGAAGATACCGTCTTGTTTTCGACTCGAAAATAATTTAATTATGAAAATTTTTCTATTGATTCTTATAGGTAAGATATGCACAAGTCACTTTTGCAGAGAACCAGCAAATAAAAATAAACTATTAAAAAAACAAAAAAAGACAAAGCTTTGAAGAGTACCATTGTTAATCGGGCATTGCCATCTTTGCACGGAGGATCTAACTTAAAATTACGCTTACAGTCCTTTTAAAATCGAGAGGGTGGAAGGGGGGGTTCTACCTTGAGGTGAGGATCACTGAATGCTTTGGATTTGAACACCAAGCCATGAACAGTTCCCGAGCAAACCCAGCTTCTAGATCTGGCATACTTGCCAGTACTACTTTGGGGGCAGGAACCTTATTACATAAAATTTAAAATTCATAATTAACTAGTAACATGAAATAGAAGACAATAATAATAATATGTTTAGTACTTAGACGTTTTGGATCATGTTAGGTATAAGAAAAAGAAAAATTAATAAAATGAGTAAAAACATAATACATACAAGCCATACATGATCAGAGATGCCTTGGAAACCCCCAGACTACCAATGGATTTACCCATTCAACTTTGACATGCTAAAGGTGAAATGCTTTATGAGTAAACATCCGAAAAAGGAGATATGCAAGTCTGAAGGAGAGATATATACAATAAAACACAATACCTTGTTAACCTCCGCCATTGAGTGGCAGAGCTTAAGATGCTTGAAGAGAAATGGATTACTCTTCCTCTCTCCCATAACCTGAATGTTTAGAGTATACAAGTTCATCAGAATGATATATTGCGTCTTGCTTTTCAATTTTGGCTTAAAGGGAGTGACCAGCAATGTATGGTAGTTGAACTGAGAATGAAGAATTGTAGATTAATTATTTTTTAAGGATTCTTGTTACTTGAAGAATATTCTCTGAGCTCCAGTTGGAACATAGACGAGGATGTCTGCATGATCATCACGGAGTATTGATCAATCTTCCTGGTGGGGCTCCACAGTGCTCTCTATACTCAAATACTCCTTGCAAATCAATTTTAAGTACATTTTACAGTTGTCCAATGTCAATAGAGTCCAGCAGGGTCCGCAATATGTTTAAAGTTTTTGCCTCTTTTACTTATACGGGAAGTTTCAGGAACAAGATCAGAGAAAAAGTTTTGCCTGACATCTGTTCTTGATCTTTTTGGTATCAGATTGTCGTGATATGCTGTATGCCTGGTTAACCTGGTAGCATCAACTCCAACCTTGCTGAAATGTCATGATCTACTCTGTATATCCCCTTTATAATTTTGTAGGTTTGGATTAGGTCTAGTTTGGTTCGTCTATCCTTCAGTGACAATAAACCGAACTCATCAAGCTTTTCCTCGTAAGTCCTGCCATTTAAACCAGTTATCAGGTTACCGCCCTTGCGCTGCACTTCCTCTAATATTTTAATATCCCGTCCAGTCCAGGGTGACCATGCTGGGACCGCAAACTCTAAGTGGCAGCGGACAAATTGAGTATACAACCTCACAAAGGTGGTTCTGTCAAGACACAAAATTGTCCTAGTAATTTGTCCTGGAACTGTAGATGCCCTCCTCGAAGCCTCTGCACATAGCAGAGAGGGCTTAATATCATCTTGGTTTACTAACACACCGATGTCTCTTTTATTGTTTACCATCTGTAATACCGCTCCTGCCATAATGTATTCACAATTTGGGTTGCTCCCAACATGCATAGCTTTGCATTGTTAAACGTTATACTCCATACACCAGTCTTCAGCCCAATTTAATATTTATTTGAGACCAGACATTGTTACGGTGCATATTTGTTCAGCAAGAGCTCAAATTTAATCTTTAATATCCTCATAGATTGTCAATTTTGGAAGGATTAATTTAAGAATCTTTTTTTTTGAATTATTCAATGACGACCACGAAAAATGTAACAACAATTCTACAGTAAACTAATAAGTTGTTTAGGAACAGATTAAGAAAAAAAATTAACTCTTATCATCGAAAATAACTAATCTTTTTTAGTAATTAGTTTCTATAATGTCTCATTGTTCACAAACCTTTTCTGTAGATTTCCTGCAATTTTGATTGAAAAGACGAAATTTGAAGAGTTTGGAGAAATCTGTTAACAAATTTGTAAAGAATAAGAAACTCAATATAATGATGAAAAGGAAATAATTGATTCTAGCATTGATTTATTGACAAACTTCTGTTGAGAAATATGTTCCTAAACATCCAATTAGTTAACTTTAGAATTTTTCTTACATTTTTCGTCGTTGTTTTAGAATAACTTCAAAAACCGATTCTCAAAATCATCTCTCCAGAATGAACAGAGGAGGATTTTAAAAATTGAATTTACGCTCTTGCAAAACAAATATGCATGTAAAAACTTCTAAAAGGTCTCAAATGAATCCTAAAAAAATTCTTTACAAAACTGCATTCTCAGTTCAACTACCATACATTACCGGTCACTCCCTTTAAAAACATTGAATATAGACAAAAAAAAACCAAAACTAATTTTGGAACATTGAAAAAAATAAATTTCTTCTCTTGTTTATGGGCAATGTTTTTTCTATTATTTCCGAAATTTCACATAAGTTTTGCAATAATTAAAAGATATTTAAAAAAATGGACAACTCTGTGTTCACTGTTCATCTATGTATCAAAGCTAGGAAAGAGTTGTTGGCTTTATTAATATTTTTTTCAAATTATCTTAATTATATTTTCAGTGAGTTTTCTTTTCTTTAGTTAATATACATTTTGCATTTTTTCCTCTTTAAGGAACTGTAAACCGTAAATTCAAGTGATCCTCCATGCAAAGATTGCAGTGACCGATTCACAAGAGTACCCTTGAAACCTAAATATGATCAAAAATGTGGAAGATAACGTTGTTTTTAAGATTCAATAAGTGTTTAATTCTGATAATTTCTCCAGACTTTCTTGTAAGCAAGAAATGTGCAAGTCACTTTTGCAAAGAAACCAGAAATGAAAATAATCAGTTTTCAAAAACAAAAACATGGAGTTCTAATTCATGCTTGGATTTGACAAAGCTATTAAGGGTACCGTTGTAAGCCGGGAATTGCCATCCTTGTCTGGAGGCTCACATGAAATTACGCTTACAGTCCCATGTAAAGACATTTCCATAATTGGTTCTTTTCACCACTCAAATAAAATATATTCGATTATTGTTAAAACACACAATGAACACAAATTTGATTAACAAATTGAGGAATATAAAAGTTTGAATACATTATGATATAAAATTTATTATGTAAATGATAATTTTCTTAAGAAAATATAAATAATTGGCATGTATGTTGCATACAAAAGCAACAATTTAGTATGGAAAGAAAGCTATTCAAATTGAATACAACGACACACAGGAGTTAACAGTTAGTTCCAAAATGGTAACATGGCTTCAAGTTGGAAAGTATACATTTATAATTATTTTGGCCTGTTATTTCTTCTACTTTCAGGTATTTTGTTGGAGATAAAGATTTCAGAAATGGGCCTCAATAAAATACCAGTGTCCTTGAAACCTTTATTTGATCAATAATGTGGAAGATATTTTAGATTTGTGTTTGCTACTGATAATTCCTAAATGTTTTCCTGTCGTAGAAATGCTTAAGTCACTTTTGTATTTAGAAAAGAATAAATTTTCAAAATTATTTACAGTATTTCTAATTCAAACTTGACCAGACAATGGTTTCCAGCGAAAAGGAAAAATCGATATACGAAAATTTAGCATTTCTTGCCAAAAAAAAATTTCGACAAAACTTCAGCGTATTTTAGCATTTCGTTCGATGGAGAAAAAAGCGAGAAAAAAATTTTATTTCGCGAAATTTCGCTTTCATCTGTTTCGCGAAAAAACATATTAATTATAGATTATTATAAAATAAAACTTCTAATGCTTAGCTCTCACTTTAGCTACAATACTTATGGTTTTCGCGAATTTTTTTTGGTCGTGAAATTTTACGAAATTTCACATAGTTCTCGTATTTTTTCGCTTATTTCCTTTTCGCGAAAACATGCGAAATTCCGCAAAAAAGTTCTGAAATACGAACGAATATTTTCGCTGGAAACCCTAGTTCAGACGAAGCTTACAGGGATTCGATTTTTAATCGGGCACAGCCATCTTTGCATTGAGGGTCACAAAAAAATAAAGCTTAAAGGGTTAAAAAAAAGATCAAACTTGCCGAATGATGGGAATATAATTAATGAAGAAAAAGGATGAGTTGGACTATAAAAAAAAATTGTAAGGAGAATATATTAAAATTGAGAATATTATAAATTATCAAAATTCTTTGGCTTTTTCGGTACTTGTTACTTAATTATTAATTAAAATTGTTTAGGCCACAGCCTTGGTATTCAAGTATCTGAAAGGGGAGACAGTTACAATTTCAAGATCTGAGAATAAACCCCTTTCTGCTCCGGCATTGACCTTCTGCATCAAGAATCAGTTAAAGAATTTGACTTCTTATGGTGAAATGAACAGGGGATTTTCAGATACTTGTAATACTTCATCAGTTAAGGAGTTGAACGAATGCTTTGATAGATATACATATAACCACACTGAAATTGTTGAAGATGTTTTACTTGGAAGGAACAGATCATTTTTAGGTTTGAACTACTGGACATCATACTTTCAGGCAAAAAGTATGGGGAGATGCCATACTTTACAAATACCTAATTTACTAAATGGAAGTGGGGTTGAGAACAGCATTTTAATAAACTTTAATGCGCAAAATGATTTGACCTACATCACTATTGTACATGACCCAAAGTTTTTCCTAACAGCATTAAATCCATTAACCTTCAGTCGCTTTTGTATTGTACAGAATAAACTACTCTCGACAAAAAAAAATGGAACAGGGGAAAAATTCTTTTTGAGTGTTCATCATCATGTAAAACGGGAGTATGATCCAAAAGGAAATAAAAAATGTGATCCGGATCCAAACTATAACTTCATGATCTGTGTCCAGAATTTTGGAGCTCGCACAGTGGGTTGTCATCCTAGCTGGGATAACTTTTTCAATGACTATCCCAACTGTACAACAATTAATCAGATTAAGCAGCATGAGGAATTGTATGAATTCTACTATTTTGAGGACAAGAATAGGATACAGGAAAAAACTGGATGTTTAGAACCTTGTGATTTTTTTGAATATAGGTTTGTGGGTGAAATACTGGCTTATACTCACGCGGATGCAAAATTGTTCAAAATGAGTCTAAGTTTGGTGTCATCATCTTACGAGCTATTAGTGGAAGAACTTGGGTATCCCTTCCCTTCCTTTTTGGGGGAATTCGGAGGAGCCTTAGGCTTATTTCTTGGAGCTTCATTTCTAAGTATCTGGGATTTTGTAGAATTTTTGACATTAAAGATAAAAAAGATCGCTGGCAATTAGTTTAAGAACCATATGATTATTATTGACATGGTTATTAAGGGTAAAAGATTTTTCACAAATTTGAAAGGTATCAATTTAAATCATTAAATACTTTAATGTATTTTTGATTTACAAAACATTTACAAAAGACATTTATCGCAAAGATTAAAGTTGACCATCGCAAATGGCCTTCTTTTGTGATCAACCCAAGTGAGAGTGTTTTTTTTCTTCTCAAAATATGTCGAAATGGGCAACAAAAGATCAACCTTTCCAAGCCATATTCAACGAAATTTTTTTTTTACAAAATAATGAAAAATAGCCAAGTTGGATCTGGAAAACAAGGGAAAACAGCAGATTTTGTGATTTCCCAAATTTTTTCCACTTAAATCCTCCTAGATCGCATGTTTTTGAATATTTTTACAAACCGTTTGCTGCGTTGAATTAGACTTTGCAAGACGGATCTTTTGATACCTATATCGACATATTTTGAAAAAATTTCACTTGTATAACCTGTTTTTCGGCCACAAATAGTCATTAACGATGGTTAGTTTGGATTTTATCGAAAAATGCTTTAAATAATTCTGCTTAAAATTAACAAACACAGTAGTATTTACTTCTTGATTTGTGTTTCACGAAAATGATTCACCCTTCATGGTTATGTCAAGAGAAAAATTTGTAATCTGATTTTTTATGAATGTTTGTTGGAAACTGATAAAATTTAGATCTTATAAATATGTGATTTCAACTCTAGCTCTGAATGTGAATAAAATAAATAAAATGTTACTTACATATAATTTAGTAAACCCCATCAGATTCGAATACTTATAAATTCAAACCATTAAATATAAAATATTCTTTTACAAGAAGTTGCCTTTTTTCTGTCACCATTTTTATTAATAAATGTTATAAAAGATGACGTTCGCACTTTTCGACTTTAAATATTTTCATAATCACTTCATGTTACAAAATGTTACTAGTACCTTTTAGTACAGTGTACTGTTCAATGATTAAATTAAGAACTAAAAGAAGTTTAGATTTTTAAAAAGTTGCCTTAACTATTCAATTTAGATTAAATAAGGCGAAATAAACAGTAAACACGCCTGACTAACAATTTTTTCCAAATCTGACATCAAGAGTCAGATTTGGGCCAAGCATGGTTCTGAACTTCCCTCCCCTCTAATTGGATAATGTAAAATCAGTTTTCTATTATCCACAGTTTTAAAATCGATTTGTAAGACTGTGAGTAAAAATGAACAATCACTTTAATTTTAGTTATTAAGCCTGCAAACCTTCATTAGTTTCTCACTCATCCACTCGATCTGAGACTTGGCGAACTCCACGACGTTATAGCTCACGTTGTTCAGGAGAGCTAAACTGTAGGCCAGAAGACCAGAGTCCTAGCAATATTAACCTTTTAGTACCAATACAATTTCGACTCATTACACTTCAGAATAATCTTAAAAAGACTCAGATAGACTGAATTATTTGTGAGTTCTAAAGTAAGCACTTTTGCAACGTTTATCTAGGGATCAATTATCTATATCAATCGTGTGAAGGCATATAGACAAATCTAATTCCACTTAGATATCCCTGAAGGTCAGACCCTGAAGGAACAACTTTTATTTAGGGAACAATCATTAATCCTCAAATTTATTTTATTATTAAGAGGCCCTATTGGATATGGAGATCAAGTGTCCAAGATTAACGATGTATAAAAGTCCAAACCTTGGGACTCGGGTACTAAAATATACAAGAAATGTTAAACCTTGTTAGACCAGAGCTGATCAACCATATGAGCAAGTTCTAGGACCCGGCCCGCTGTATCAACACACACCAACACGTTCCCATTGTTACGTAGTGTAGACAATATATTTGTCATCAGTTGCTCATCACGTAACCTAGATAATCAGCATTTTGTAATGTTATCTATGTTAATCAGCTATTCGTCACTTAACCTAGATAATCAGTTGCTTGTCACATAACCTAGATAATCAGCAACTTGATCCAAAATCTGTAAATCAGCTATTTATAAAGTAACCTAGATAAACGGCGCCATGACAAACTCCTGAAAGACAAACTCCTGAAAAGACAAAATCCTGAAAGACAAACGCCTTACGAGACAAACTCCTGACGAGACAAACTTAGCTATTCGTCACTTAACCTAGATAATCAGTTGCTTGTCACATAACCTAGATAATCAGCAACTTGATCCAAAATCTGTAAATCAGCTATTTATAATGTAACCTAGATAAACAGCATTTTGAAATGCTATCTATGATAATCAAGTATTCGAGTAGTAATCTATGTTAATCAGTTGCTCGTTACGTAACCAAGATAATCAGTAACTTGTCAAATACTCAATGTTAGTCAGGTATTTACAACGTAACATAAATAATCAGCATTTTGTCACATAATCTATTTAAATCAGCTACTCGTCTCTTAACTTAGATAATCAGCAACTTGTCACATAGTCTATGTTTGTCATGTATTTATAATGTAACCTAGATAATCAGCATTTTGTCATGTTGACACGTAATCTATGTTAATCAGCTGCTTTTTTCACGTAACCTAGATAATCAGTATCTTGGCNGCTCTTCACTTTACCTAGATAAATAACAACTTGTACGTTATCTATAGTACATCAGATGCTTTTTATGTAACCTAGATAATCAAAATCTGGTTTTGTAATTTAAATTTATCAGCTTTTTATATCACAACCTAGAACAGAATTTTGACATTTAATTTATGTCAGTACGCTACTTATCTCATAGTTGTAACCTTATATAATCAGCTGCTCGTCATTTAACCTTAATTGATCAGCTTTTTGTCAGGTAATCTAGATCAAAAACTGTTTGTCATGTAACAGCAATTAAACAACTCTAAATATTCTCTCAGTCGCCCTTAACATGTTATTTTTGATAATAGTTTACCTCCGTTTCTGCTGATTATAGTTTGCATTGAAAGCATCTGTGATGAGCAGACTAGGTCGGGTCAGCTTATCAATATCACAACCATTCAGATGCCTCTCCTGACAATTCAAAATAATTCATTCAAAGGGATTGTAGACAATATTTCAAGTGACCCTCTTATAAAAGGTGACATCGTCGATTCTAAACAGTACCCACAGAAGCTTTTTCTGATCAAGAAAGTATAAAATAGCCGGGTCTTGGCAGATTGATCAATGAGCATGTTCAATTGTGGTTTCTCCATTCTACAATTAAGTGACGTGAGGATTTTTGCTTCCGAAACAATAGAGAAATTGTCAAAATTAATCCGTTTCAAAATACAAAAACGCCGACATCTTCCAAACTAATGATCAGATAAAAGGTTTAAAGGGCTCCATTGTAAATAGGGCATATCCCTTAATACATGGAGGGTCTTTTGAAATTACGACTACAGCCCCCCACTCAAGAAAAATTTTAAGGATTTCAATCTTATCTGACCAAAAGTGAAAAAAATAGACTAAAAAGCTTTTTTATCTTGTTAATCCTGCTAAGTTTTACTTCACTTTCTAACTATATAAAGTTAGAAACTACCGATAAAAACGATATGATTTATATTATCCTGGAAAACGTAGGGTGTTTTTTATGCTAATTTTAAAGGAAAAAAAATATTTTAAACTAGTTTTGCCACCTTCTTATGATTAAAGTCCACAGCATAAACAATATCTTCTTCTCCGTCCTTCACTATCTTCCAGATTGTTCCTCCTAAAACAAAATAGATAAAAGGGATTGCTTCACAATCTTCCAGATTGTTCCTCCTACAACAAAATAGATTAAAGGTACTGCGTCAAATTCTTTTTGTTTAGATGTTTAATGTAAAAAATGATTATCGATAATAAGAAAAAAATGAGAAATTAAATTGTAGATTATTTTAATTAAGAAAAAAACAAACAAACAAACAAACAAACCAACAAACAAAAGTAATCAACCGTCATTTCGTACAAGTCAGGGCTGAGATTCCGTCAGAAATAGCCGTAAATTGTTGCAAAAGACTGTTAAAAATCCAGTTGTTAAAAACTTCAAATTGGTTTAATTACCTATCATGTGCCCAGCGGGAATTGGTGTGATTGTTATTCCTTGGCCCTTTCCCTTAAAACTTTATAAACAATAATACTAAGAATTTTTATCACAAACAAATCTGTTATAAAGGTTTCCCACAAAGAATGAGTTTACAGAGACGACTGTACAAATTATATTATCTGTTTTCTAATATTCACGATTCCTATGTCATTTTACATAGGTTTTAGGTTGTCTTTACAGTCTCATCATGACAGTGTAAGATGTTTCCTTCCTAGTGTTTTTTCAATTTAAAAAATCGCCCAACATTCAACAAAACACGCGCAAAACCAATTTTTTGATGGTTGTTCACAAATAATGATACTGTAAAGACGACTTAAAACTCTTCAAATATGACGATCCCAAGTTAAAGTTAAGTCTTGTGCATTGATTGTAGTCTTTAAATAGTGTATTTAATCAGGGTTGGCATGAAAAAACCCAGCCCCAAAAAAACAATAAAACTCGCTTTAAAAACCCACCTTTAAGTGGACTTCTTTGGATTTTATTGGGGTTTTTTAGAATTTTTCTAAAAATATGGTCTACTTTCAACAGGATTGATTTTTAAGGAATTTACAGCACTAAAACAGACACATTTTCAAAATATGTTGCGATAGAATAAGGATATAAAATTCCTTTATCGATCTTATGTGTGAGTGATCTGAAGTTATTTTGTATTTAACATTGGTCTTCCTTCTTGAGCATATAAATATCTACCGATTAATCTGAAATATGTATCCAAGTGAGAAAATAGAAGTAGTCTGAAATTCATAGAACTAAACTATTAAAAAAAATACAATATACTCCCTAAAAAGGCCCCCTATGAAAAAAAGGAGGTGATATTATTTTATTTGAAGAGTATTTATTATGATTATAGCCTATTATCACAACAATATTATTATTTTCCATAACTAAAAAGTTCACCTATTGCTTAAATAGTCTTATTTTTATGAATTAGTATGAATTTTAGTAGGTCTCAACTTCGTTCAAATTGAAAAACCCAATAAAAGCCACAGGGCTGGTTCTTTTTTTTTGTTGAAAAAACCCGTTTTTTCCAACCCTGTATTTAATGATAAAGCAAAAAGAGAAAAAATTACAGTTGAAGGGAATTATCATTATAAGGAAAGAGAAAGTATAAATTCCGTACAGTCGTCTCTGAAGTCTCATTCTTTGTGGGTAACCCTGTATCTTAAAAATAAAAAATAAGATCATGTTTTTTTAAATGCTATATTATTGTTTATTGTTTCCCTAACAGATTGATTGTATTTAAGCTGGGTAATCTTCTCGAAGGCAATGTCCACCTCGTCCAAGGTGTAGAGGGTGAACTCCTCCACATTGTGTCGGGACTATACAAACAATATATATTTAATTTATATATTATCATTCACCCTCTACAACTCGTCCAAGGTGTAGAGGGTGAACTCCTCCACATTGTGTCGGGACTATACAAACAATATATATTTAATTTAATCATCAACAACTGCATCCNTCACAATGAAAAACGGAAGCACCCAACCCCTCATCATGAGAAAACTTACACCCTCTGTTACGATCCAAATGCAAATTGTTTTATTTCTTCTCAGAATGTTTTTTTTTAGTTAAAGCCGACTAAAAATCTCATAAAAACAGTGTTTAGGTTCCGGATCCGTTGGATCCGCAAATTTTTGGCTACCTGGATCCTGATCCGCAAAAATATGTGGATCCACATATACGGATCTAAGGTCCAAAATAATAACCTAAAACTAAAAAAAAAACATATTTCTGATTGGTTCATCGAGTTATAGCTTAAAAAACAAGCGAAAATAAAAAGTTCTAAAATAATTTGAAAATCTTAAATAAATGTTCATGACCTGGATCCATTATTTTTCATGGCGGAACCAGAATCTGCATCAAAATGAAATGGATCCTACGCAGTACGCATTAAAAAAGTGTGGTCAAGAAAAGGTTCTTGCCTGGTAAATATCGTAGAGAAACATTTGACCCATTTTATAAACTGGAACAGTTGCGTAGATGGGGCAGGAGACCCCCAGCTTTCCAACTATATACGGTAAAGCGCCTAAATAAAGAACATGAGTACATATATTGAAGAATGCCCATTACCCTACCCCCCTCCCCCTGAGGGGGGGGGGTACAAATAATTTTCAAAGAATTTGGGTAAAAACAGTAATGTGAAAATTAATTTGGACGTGTTCCCTCTCTTAATAGTGATACCTCTCAATTTACGTAGAACAAAATATTTCGGTAAAATTTGGCAATCATAAGAATGCGGATATTTTTTTGATAAAATAATCAGAAATACTGAAATGTTTATTTATTTAACAGGAGCTATATTTTTTATTACCATCTTCGGTTAAGAGAGCAAGAAAGTTATTTTATCTTTTTCAGGAGTGCATTGGCTATTCTATGAAAAACGGACATGTTCTATTACCTAAATGTATCTGGTCTGGGTAGGATAGAAGAATTGCATCTATTTTAGACGTGTGCTTGTTAATCTCCTAAATAAATGAAATTTCTAATAATTGTTTCTAACAGTTCAGTGAAAATATTTTATTAACAATAACACCCATACATCCTAAGCCATGGAAAAAAAAAGATTTTGTCTTCGTGTGAGGGAAGATCTGGTAATGGAAGAATCACTGCAGTTACACAAGTTAGATATCCCCCCCATTATAAATAGGAAAACGATTTTTCTAAAAAAAAAACATTATTTATTTCTCTCCCGAAAATCTAATTCTTTATTTCTACTGTTGGTTATCGTTTCTCTAAGTTGGCTTTTATTAAACTTTGCAAATATTATACCTTAAATAAATTTGGAAAACATATGGCACAGTGACAGAAAAGAAAATATTTAGAAACATTTACTCTTCTTTCACTATGCCAATTTTTAACTCTTAAAGAACATATAGGCAAATAAAGAGCCAAAAACGGATCAACTGCATGCACATTAACATCTGTGTCTGATCAAGGATATCTTTAATTTCCCGGCTGAAAGGGGACAATTACTTTGACCAATTTAGTTACATGTGGGAGTTCCTGCTTTCATTTTTTGAGCAATCTCAATGAAATTTTGCATATCGACACATTTTGTTTCTGTAATCAAAAAAAGAAATTGAGGAAAAAAATATTTTTTCGCCACCTTTCTATGTTTTTAAAGGTTTTTCATNTAATTTTTCATCCCCCCCCCCTCCACCTAGATCTTTAAAATACATTCTCCCCCCAGGGGGGTTAATTCTTGAAAATATACACCCCTATTTAATTATTAATAAAACCTACCTCTGTGATATTAACATTATCTCCGAAAGTTCCCTCTCTATGCTCGAAGAGTATTCCTTGATCTCCAGATCCTAGTGCATTATTATACAATGTAGGGGGTACACGAAGAAGTGAAAGTAATAAAATCAAGAGGTTCATAGGTTCTCTGGGTGGTGTCAACCCTTAGTATTGAGATGCAAACACTTTTTTTGCTCTAGCTTGACGAACTTAGATGGAAGTAGTTTCAGGAAAAAATCTGGATTTTGGTTAAGGGGGAGGAAACCGCAATTCGACACTGTGTGACACAGCATTTTGTGCAGGCTGCATTTATAAAAATTCAGGAAAAGGTTGAAATTTCGCATGCAGCCTCCCATTGTGGCCTTCTACCTGGATCACAAAAAAAAATTGGGACCACCAAAAATGAAGAGTTTGCCGAAAAAATCTAAAAAGACTTACACCTTATGCATTGCAATGCTCCGATCAACCTGAAATTTTCACAAAATGCTCATGTTAGGTCACATCACTCATACAACCTATGCACCCCAATTTTTAAAAATCCCATTCGTGTGTCACCCTATATACAGTGGTCGGCGATTATATCAAAACAATGAAGTCGACATTTTATTAATAATGCTTTGATCATTAACGAGCATTTTACAAACTTCATAAGTAAATCAAATATAATCAAAGAGAATCTGTTGATTGCCAATTTCTCTTTGTTTACATGTTTATATGTCCCTGCTGTTTAAAAGAGTTGAAATAAACATTCGAATTCATTGTATTGACAAATAGGACGACGACTATGTTCAGAAAACAACAGACCAATGGACTGCTGATAACTTGTAAAGTTCTTATTTAAGAATTCGAGAAAGCAAATCTACCTACATTCTACAATCTACAACATCCAAACTCGAAATCCACAAATAAGTGTAAACTTTTATTAAAAAGCCATGAACAGCTTAATCCACGAAAAACAGCTGATTCGTATTTACGCGGTTCCTTATTGGCCAAGAGTAGATATTTTGTGTTGTTTTGATTGGTCAGACTTTAAGAAATATTCAAAAGGAATTAACTTAATTCGTTTAACCACAAAATACAATTTAGTATTTTTCCAGGGAATAAATAACAAAAATTCAGACTTAATCACATATATTTTTTAAATACTGAAAAAGTAAAAGCTTGCTCAAGAATCAAAAAGTTTTACCTAGAACATATACTGCTCCTAGAAGTGTTCCATCCCCTTTCAGATTTCCAGGAGTTCCTTTCTTCTTAGATTTCATAATATTCAACCATGTATCCAACCTACAAGATTATATTCAACCATGTATCCAACCTACAAGATTATATTCATCCATGTATACAACCTACAAGATTATATTCAACCATGTATCCAACCTACAAGATTATATTCAAGCATGTATCCAGCCTACAAGATTATATTCAACCATGTATCCAACCTACAAGATTATATNAGACTAATTTAAAAGATATATATATATATATATATATTAACCTGAGAGCTCCTAGTAATAACATTCTCCTCTCTTTAGGACCATAGAATGTTTTATCCAAATCCAAATACAAATCTCCTCTAAATAGATAATTGTTGACCTCTAACCTATCTCGTAACCTCAACCCTTGCGCCATGTCGTCTTTACCAGCCCTAAATCCCAACCAAACGATTTCTCCGACTTTACCCTTCTACCTCGACAAAGGAAAATCGAAACATTGAAACGTTTTACCAAGGGAAATATCTAATCAAATAAATTACTCTGCAATTCTTAGTTAATTCCACTTTAAAAATCTGGGTTTATATTTAAGAAGTGTTTACAAATGTCTTAAAATATTCCATCAAACCCTCAACTCCTTAATCGGAATTTTTACTCCGACACAGACTCCACAGACAACTAGTAAGTTATACTTTAAAATATTCATATACATACATTCTATTGCAGGTTTGAAATACATCTATTTACTGATTATTTGCGACTACTATGTCCGAGTTAAGGGGCCTGATCAACAAATCAACAAGTCCACCAATCAATTAATCAGCCAGACTATTAGTCTGCCAATCATTGATGCCCGCCTATTGATTTACAATACATAAAAAATAAAACCCATTTAATCACCTTCTGGCTGGAAAAATTAACAACATCCTAACATAAATCTCTCCTCTAGATTATAATTGATATCTTTTAATCCCATCAAAAGTTACAATTTGTGTATTTCAGGTATGGTCAGTTTCATAACGTGCTGAATCGATCCTGTCCCCCCTCGTGGAAGTTTTTTGTAGGACATATCCACTCTTTACTTTGTATCCTTACTTAACAATATTTCTCAATTAATTCACAAAATTAAGCTAAAATCTCATATTCAAAAGTAAAAATTTTAATTTAGTCTCTGTAAAGATAAAGCTAATCCACCTGAAGAAATCTCTGAATTCCTCTGCTCCCAGGGTTTCATGAAGAACTCCATAAAGAGGAATCTACTCAATAACCAACCATGAAATTTATAATTTAACAATTTAAGAAAAAATGATAGAAGGATAGAAAAGGATAGGTGTTAGGCATTTCCCAAAATTGGAACTTCCCAAATATGCAATTTCCCAAGCGCCAACTTCCTAAGTCTGTCCTGGCCTAGCTCTAGCGCACGGTACCTATTGCAGCCTACGACGCTTCAGAATGCTTAACCTAACCTTTGGTAAGTTGCTGCTTGAGTCGCACATTTGGTAAGAAGCCATTTGGGAAATTGCACATTTGGGATGTTGCCACTTGCAAAAATACCCTTGGGCAGTTACCGCTTGAGGAAATGACTTTGGGAAAGTATCCAGTATCAAAGGATAGGGTTAGCCAACGCGTTTTAAATCAGACAGACTGCTTAGAGACTGAATTTTGCAAAAAGCATCCCAATTTCCGAACCGATGTTATTGAGAAATAATAAAAGTCCCTATTCGATTTACAGACCATAAAAAATTTATGATAAAACATTTTAGAAAACAGCATAAGGAAGTCCGGCAAATTTTAGCTAAAATAAAATTTAACAATTCCGTGTTTTAGACTGATTAATAGAAGCAATGTATGTGTGAGTGTACACTGTACAAAGAATCAATATAATTAAAATATGCAAAAAATGTTATCAAGTTGGCTCCTGTAAAGCGGAGAGTTCTGGCGCCAATTCACTTAGAGCCAAAGCCTCATCCCGACACAGCTGTCATCCGGGTCTCCTAAATAATATACTCAGTTTTCCAAATGAAGTTGTCTTCCAGACTAACAGAAAAACCAAACTAACATATAGCAAACCCGGCTGCAACTTGACGACCCAACTTAATGTAAAGCAAACCTGGCAGCCAGTTGGCATACTAAACTTAACATCTTCCTGGTAAACCAAACTGACATAAAAGTACCTTGACATCTTGACGAAACAAACTGACATATTACAGACCTCACAGCAATATAACTGGTATAAAACTAAATGTCATAAAGCAAACTTGACAGCAACATGATAAAATGCAAACCAAACAGTCACTTGACAAACCTAACAGACACAAAACTAATCTAACAGCTAGGAGTCAAACTAAACGTCATAAAGCAAACCAAACTGACATGAAGGAAACCAAACTGACATTACGGAAACCAAACTGACATAAAGGAACCAAATTGACACAAAGGAAACCAAACTGAATACAACAAACCTGACCGCCATAAAAACTGCTCCAGAATCCCTCCAGAGAGAACTAGGATCCGTAAGTTGACCGGCGCCAGGTATAACCGGGACCCCTTAATAAATATTTCTAAAAGCATGAATTTATGTAATTGATTAATTATTTTAATAATTAAATTTATTGATTAAAGGGACTGTCTACGTAATTCCAAATTACAACGGTAAACATTTAGCCCTTTTCTCTCCATTCAAGGATAAATGAAATATCATTAAGTTTGATATCATTATTTTTAACTGAAAATTTTATTAAAACCATTTCTGCTACCAAGACAAAGCAGGGAAATGTTTTAAGGAAACCTTTGCAAATCGCATGTTTGACACTTTATATAAGGAGGCTCAGAGAAAATCATGTCTCCAGCCGCTTTCAGTTTAATTATCCCTGTTTAAATTAATTAATAGGTTATCAAATCACTTTTTTCCTATTGCCTACCTTTTGGTATAATCTGTAGTTTTGCTTTGGCAAGATATGATGCTGTTGCCCTCTCTTGAGGCAATATCCATGAGGAGGGAAGGTTAGCATAGGCCAGCATACCTACAGTTCAGAATACAAACTTAATTTCAATCTAATAATTTTTAGGAATTTTTTAACACAGTGTTTTAGTTTGATTGTAAGCATAATTTCAAGTGAACCTACATGCAGAGAAGGCAATACCCGATTCACAACGGTACCCCTAGAAGGGACCGTTCACTTATTTGGGTAATTTGAGGGTGAACTAAATAGCCTTATTAGCGTTTCATTGATATTAGTCTTACTTTTCAAAGACAACTGTGGCCTGAGAAAAAGCCCAATTATCATTTAGAATTCCATTGCAAAGGTATTCACTATTTTTTCATAATCATGGATTAAAAAAATTTTTCAATATTAAATTAAATTGTAGTATCTAATAGTTTATTGTAGATATTTTTTTTCTCAAAATTATCTTTGAATCGTCTATTTTCAAATTGTAACTTATTTTTCCCCTTCTTTCCCAGGAATCCCAGTGATTTATTGAAGAGTTGAAATCAAGGAGTATGAAACAAGAGGGAAATACAACTGACGCGGCCCGCCTGTATAATCATATGGTAGGGCGATCTGCGTCAGTTGTATCTCCCTTCTATTTCATACTCCTTGGTTGAAATCCAGAAACCAATTTGTCTGAGAAAGAAAGTCTTCTTTGTATAAACATGATTACTCCTGTTCTATCCAAGTAGCGAGTGAAGTGATAGCGTGGTCGCTATGTTCACTCGATTTGTGAAATCATGCAAAAACAAGAAAAACGTGAAATTTTTTCCTAATTCTAAAGTCAAGTTTTAATATTTTAATTTATAATAATGTCATTGAAAATTTGAAATACGATAGTTTTAGATTTTATTGGGCTGTTGTTACTGAAAAAAAAACATTTAAATAGTAAATAATGTTTATGCAAAGGTATCATACCTTTGCACTAGAATGCTAAGCGATGAATCGGCTTTTTCTCCGGTCATAGCAATCTTTGAAAAGTAAGACTAATACCTGCGATTAATAGCAAATAGAGGGTATAAAGGTCCAGTTAGAGCAGGGGAGGGACGGTGCTTCCTGCGCCTGGAGGCGGTCTGGGGGGGTTCATAGCGGGGCCCCTTTTTCAGATTTAATTTCCTTATGATTCCTTAATTAGTTTACCATGAAATTACCAAAATAAGTGAACGGTCCCTTTAAAAGCGTTGTCTCATCAATTATGAATTAGATGTCAATGCTTTTTAAACCGTTTATTTTCATTTAAGGTTTCTCTATAATAGTGACTTGCTCATTTCTTGTGTATTACAAACAATGGAAGTTTTTTCAAAATTAAATACATTTCGACTGAAAAAAACTATGATATTTTCCACATATCACTTCTGCCTGAATTTGAAATCTAAATTTCTTTAAAAATTTATTTTGCTTTCGGAAAAAATATTGGTGAACTTTAAGGCAATGTGCATTGCCAAGGGCACTGTACTGGTCCCGTTTCTTAGGATAATGAAACTTTTATCATTCTTAAACTACAGTTTGTCTCACTGGACAAAATACCTTCTTGATTGAATAAGTAAATGACATGTAGTCTCAAGTAAGAAAATATTCCGGCAAAAGAAATGTTGTCCTGCATGATAACACAAGGCAGTTGCATAAATAGATATTATACCCCGGCTAACCTGATAATAGATATTATACCCCGGCTAACCTGATAATAGATATTATACCCCGGCTAACCTGATAATAGATATTATACCCCGGCTAACCTGATAATGCCCCACCAACCATCCACTTCCAAGATATCCCAAGAACTGAAGATAAACTCATTTTAAATCTATTAATTCATCGACCAAACACCGTCCCTCCAACTGGTCTGAAAGATTGAGAATCAATGAATGCCTCACTCTTGCTGAATGAATAATCATGTTGAAAAATATACAAAACAATTTAATAAATATATTTTCTACAAACAGTCCTTAAGATCCAATTCTTTTTGATGCGGATCCGAATCCGCACAGAAAAAAATGAATCCAGATCCAGGTCATTTATCAATGAACATATCTTTGAGATTTACTGCTTTTGAGAAAAAAGAAATTTTTTAATTTTTTTCGGTTATTTTTATGCTAAAACTTAATAACGTTCAATACTAAGTAAAGTTTTGATAAAATCTCGTCTCTTAAAAGTTTCAGTTTCGAGATTTGAGAGCAAAAGGTTTTCAACAAAGTTTTACGTTGATATTTTGCCCCTTGGCTCCGGATCCCAAAATATTGCGGATTCGACAGATCCGGATCCTAAGCACTGGTTACAAGTGTAGAACATACAATATCTCAAAATTAAGAAAAATTGTTATCTTGTGAGATTTAAAGCAAACAAATATAATATTATCTTTTGCTAGTGTCAACTTTTATCAGGAGTACACACAGTATTTAAGATCTAAGTGCAGGTTTTAAATTTTTAAATGTAGGAGGATATTCTTAGAAATTTAAATATAATCCTTCTTCATGGAAATGAAAAGCATTGTTGAACTATTCAATTAAAAAATATTTTCACTAGAATTGACCAACTCGTGATTTCACTTTGCAGAAATAAGAAATATCAAAAATCCGCAAAATGATTCCAAAATCCCCCAAGAGATGTCTCGTTTGTCGGCAGTTTAAAAAACTCCGAGAATTTTCTTCCTGTTTTGTAGATCGTATTTTACCATATGGAATGTTAACGAGTCTTTGATCATTTTAGCATCCTAAAAATACAAGTATTAGAATATTTAGATTATAATTTACAGTGGAAGTGGAGGGTGTGGGGGCCATAAAGATACTAAGCTTTCCCTCCCCAGGAAAGTATTTTTTTTTATTTTCAGGGGGAATTCAGCAGTCATAAAAATAGATTTGCTTGAAAATTTTGTTGCAGATAAATGAATTATAGGTTAATTAAAAACCGACAAACTTTTCTTCAAAAATAACCAAAATATAAAAAAATTACTAATTTGTTATATTTTTGCCCTTTTTACCCCTCCAAAATATTCACAAGTTATCACCTACGAAAAAACGCTAATTAAAATTTTTTTAAATCACGAAAAATGGATAGTACCACTTATTTTTGCAAAGTATCAGATGTCGAGTAAAGACAGTTTAAAAGTTATAGTTGTGTACTGATGTCCATATAATTGGCTTTTTAAACCACCGTGCTCCCCCCTGCATGGTTGAAAATGCATTCGCTTCGAAACCCCTTATAGAAATTTGTATTACCTCAGGCCCTGGACTGTAGTACACTCTGTATGATTTGCAAGCGTTTTTTATCTAAAAATATCAAATTATATTTTTAGAAAACAAGCATATAAACTTTACTTAAAATGTTTTATGAAACAAATCAAATTTCTCTTTTAGTGGTCAGGATCCAGAACCCCCCCCCCCCCATCCCCTAAATTCGCATTATTTTAGCTCCTTGGATTTACCACATGCAGTGTTAGAATTTATTGGTGGTGCCTTTTGATGAACGACACTACCAATTCAATAATTTCATCAAATCATTTTGGCCAAAAGTTGTACACCATTGCTTCCCTCTAAGAGATGATCAACGCAGTTTCAAGTAGCTCTCAATTTAAAAAAAAGAGGTGCATGTCCGATTGACAACATTACCCTCTTAATCTTTGTCCGAGAAAACATGATAGAAGACATCCTAGATTTTCTATCTAAAAGTTGATAAATTACAATTTAGGTTTCTTTATAAATAAGACTTGAAGATTCATGCCGCAGAGACATGGAATGAAATTGTCGATGCTTCTCGGAAAAGCATTTAAAAGGTACCGTTGAGAATCGGGCACGCAACTGTATAAATGGAGGGTCCATTAAAATAACGTCAAAAGTCCCTTTAAAATGAAAAGAAAAAACATTAACCCTTTGACAAATAAACTATATATATTTAGAAAGAAAACTTCTTATTATAAAACAATGGCGTCCTACCTGTTCTTCTGTTCCTGTGAGACCGATTAGTTTAGGATGAAACTCCTTCACATACTCAGCAACCTCCTTTACACCATCCCTGTAATATCAAACAATCATTCAATTATTCGTTTAATTATTCAATCACTCAATCAATGAATCAATGAATCAATGAACCAATGAACCAATGAACCAATGAACCAATGAACCAATGAACCAATAAATCAATGAACCAACAAATCAATGAATCAAATGAATCAATGAATCAATGAATCAATGAATCAATGAATCAATGAATCAATGAATCAATGAATCAATGAATCAATGAACCAATGAATGAATCAATGAATCAATGAATCAATCAACCAACTTAATCAACAAATCAACCAACCAGTAAATTAACCATTCAATTAATAAAAAAACTAATCAATCAATCAATTAACCAATTATTCCACCAACCCATCATCCACAGCTTATATGCTGTAGCACTTCAAACCCCTACCTCCTAGACTTAGAGGCTCCGAAAGATAATCTAAAGTGGGTGAATGGAAATGGGAAAAGTAAAGCTAAAGGAAAAAGGGGATGAGTCAAGAATCACAAAACAGTTCTTAACTAATCTGATGGTCAACTAATTATCTTTAAAACAAACTGATCAATAACAAACCAAATAAAATAAAAAAAATAACAAACTTATTTACAAAACCAACAGATGATCAATTAATCAATCTAACGACCAAACTAACCATGATTTACAGAAAAACAGTTAGAAAGAACAAGAACCAAGATTAAAATAAATCATTGTAAACTTTTTCCTTAAATAACAATGTCGACTATACAAAACCTTTTGGGGTCCACAGTGATGAAAATAGGCTGAACAGGTCTGCAGAGTCAAGAAAAAAATTAAACAATTGACAATTTCGAAAAAGAAAACGAAGAAAAGGTCGGCCAGGGGTTGGAAAAGGGGTAAATCTAGGACAAGAATAACTGCAGATATTTAATTTAAATAAAATTCAGGTGGGGGTAACTAACTTTTTTTAATTTAGATGAAGTAAATATCAGTGATTTTAAAACAATTCAGATAATTCTATTTTTTTTTTTCCTTTCTTCTTTCTCCATCATGTCGACGACCTCTGCCACCTTCTCTAGTTCCTCTGGGCAGATGTCGGGGCAGTGGGTAAATCCGAAATATAACAAACACCACTGTAACAACACCAGGCTCGTTTTCATTTTATACAAATAAAATGGGGGGGGGGGGAGTGAAAATGTTGGCTTATATATTGCAGTTACTGCAGTGCTTAGAAACTATTTCATGTTTATGCGGATCAGGATCCTGCATTTTTAAACCGGATTTAGCTCACAAATATTTCTTTGATATTTGCTAAAACCTTTCATAAAGCTAAATTATTGCGAATCTAATTGATCCGGATCATATTCAGAACTATTAAGAAATATTATCTTGAACCGAATTCAATGAATTGAAGAGGTGACTGAACTAACTACTAACGTGGCGGTTAAAATACTGAATTACTGATTCAAATCTTTAACTTTAAATCGGTGATTCAGGATGCAGTTAAGTGACCTCTCTAATTCATTATATTCCGTCCCTTCCCTAATGAACTCACTAAAGCGCCGCTCTAATGACCTCTAAATAAAAAAATTAAATCTGAAAAAGAGGCCCCGCTATGAACCCCCCAGACCGCCTCCAGGCGCAGGAAATAAAATAAATCTTAACATCTAGATTTTCTGATAGAAGGCGATCTGGTGTTCTTCCCTGTCCAAGAAATTGATCACTTTTTGTCGGTTTCCCGTTCTGATCGATCAGATCAAATCCTCCACCGATCCGAGCCTTGCCGATCAATTTCTTACGCTCAGCAGCAACTGCTTCCTCCTTTTTGTTCCTAAAAAATGGGATTATTTTAACAGATCCATGTCCTACTTTATTTGAAAGATTAACATTATGGCTTGTACTAAGGCTAAAGATATTGAAAATCTGATTTAAAAAACTAAAAATGGCCGGAACAAGTTGAGATTTGGAGGGATTCATGGATAAAAAGCAAAAAGGCAAGGTTAGACATCAAATTGTAAAGCCTGCTGGCTTTTATAAACAAAAGTAAAGGTTATTTTCTAAACAGTTGACATTTTCTAATTTCTGAGATGATCATAATTAGTAAAAATCAAACCAGATTAGTATTCCAAAACATGTTTTAAAACGTCTAACCTAAATTTAAAGGAAACTATTCTAAAATCGTAAGAAGGAACGAATTTGAAAGAAATTACAAAAAGGCATAAATTAAAAAGCTTACTTGGCATAAGTATAGGTAGCTAGTAGGATACCGAAAACAATTCCAGTAGCTGCTAGATTTCTCCAAGATATTGGACCTCCTAGGGAAATAAATATTTATGATAAAATTAAACATCTTTTTATTTTATAATTATTCTAAGGCATCTGTTGATAACAAACGAACTTCTGTTGATATCAAACGAACTTCTATTAATATAAAAAGAACTTCTGTTGATTACAAACGAACTTCTGTTGATATCAAACGAACTTCTGTTGATATCAAACGAACTTCTGTTGATAACAAAAGAACTTCTGTTGATAAAAAACGAAAGGGCAAAGATAAAGAAAAGATAAGTCCTGAATGAAAAATTAACTTGAATTACAGGTTTATCAAAAAAGGATCGCAGTTAATTTTTTTCCGGGGGTTTCAAAGCAAAATATCGAACTGAACAATACAAAACTGTTAATTTTTCGGCTTCCCTGATCCTGATCTAAAAACACCTTTTTTTGGCATTTAAATTTATCTAAAAATATATTCTAAAGTTAAAAATTCCATAAAAAATCGCATAACACTAAAATTAACATTAAAAATACAATTCATCTTTCAAAAAATTCTAGAAATGATTTTTAGAAAGTTTTGAAGGAAAATAAGAAGAAAAAAATAAATTAAAACTTATGAAAAAGTTTTTAAAAAACTAAGTTTAATACTTTCCATGATTTTAAGTTTGATAACTTAAGTTTCGTACCTTGCATTGTGTTAGGTTTGGAAAGTTTTGGAGGTTTGTTTATCCCCTTTTTAGGTTCTGTAGAACAATGCTGTCGAAGAATAGAGTTTGAAACAGATGATCTAAAATATAAAAAAAACTGATTTTAACAGAAAAAATGAGATCTTATCTGTTTTAGATTTATATTATTTGAAAAAACTAATTTTATGCAGCTTTCCTTTTTATGATGTGTAATAAAACCTAAAAGATACCTAAGTTTTGTGTAAACATAAAATTTTTTGTGAAATTCTTTAACAAAGAAATATTTTCAGATCAGGGGTTTAGATTTTCCTTGAAAATTAGCAGAACCCCCCCCCCCCCCCCCCCCCGTGGGTTTTGAGATAAAAATTTTCATAATTAGGAAAAAAAGAAAGATTTTAGGTGAAATATTAAAGTTGATGTCCAATTTTTTCCCCTTCAAACTGTTTGATATATTAAAATTATACCCTTGTAAAATCTTATACGATTTTGAACTCTACCTATATTTGTTGAGTAAAGATATTTGATGGATACACTTTGCTCCTGGAGAACTATAGAATAGATGTGTAGGTAGACGAGACGACAGGACGCGTAACCACATTTTATCTTAAATACAACTGGTACTAGCTTGTCAACACAGCGTTACTCAGGAGTCATAGTTAGTCCCACCGTTTACCCGCCCTTTGTCGTAAATTACGATATTTCTCCCACTAAAAGTTGACCCACTCAACTTAGAAACTTAGAACGAAGCTAAGAACATTCCCGTGTGTCTCTCGAGTTCACCAATAACAATTTGAGGCAAATCGGTCAATGGGTTCCTGAGTTATGATCGGACAAAAAACAAAGGTGATTTCCTAAAGAACGATTTTCAGACAACCCCCCCCCTCCCCCCCTCCTATCAATTATATACATGGATCTTAAATGTAAGACAAGAATAAAATTGACCATGTGGCCGCAGCGCCCGCCCCCTACCCTGTCCTGGCCGCGGAGCTCGCCCCTTTAGCCTGTCCTAGCCAAAGCGCTCGGCCACCTAGCCCGTCCTAGCCGCAGCGCTTGGTCCAGAAAGTGTCTTAACCTAACCTAACCCTAAATATATGCTTATCATTATCTTATATGGATGTAATTAACCATATGTCCCCAGCGCTCGGCTCCCTAGCCTGACCTAGCCGCGGCGCTCAGCCCCCTAGCCTGTCCTAGCCACAGCGCTCGGCCCAGGAAGTGTCTTAACCTAACCTGACCCTAAATTTATACTAATTTCATTGAAAATTGTTGAAAAAGTGGTCATGTACAAAATTGATAGGAGGGAGGGGGGGGTTCCAAAAATCGTACACTAGGACTGACCCCAAACAAACATCCAAACAGAAATTACAACTTTATAAAAAAGTTCACCCACTCAATTGGTAATTTCCTAATGAACGATTTTTGGACCCCCTCCCTCTCCCCTCCCTATCAATTTTGTACATGGATCCAAAAATAGTTCTTTAGGACAGACCCCGTAATTTACATTTACGTTTGATGTTGCACTTATTTTTAAGAACACTCTTTGACAAACAAAACTTTAATGGGATAACTGAGGAATTTTCCATTTATTATAATAATTCTAAATTTAAAATAACAAATATATGAAATATCACACTTTTACTCCCTTGAATTTTTTAATAGTTTAGTTTCGTAAGTTTTTTAGCCGATTTCAATGCTTAGCGGCATTTGTCCGTACCTACAGTGACAGTTGAGGCATTTTCTAGTTTTGAATGTTTCATCTCGTCTTTTATTCAATCAACTAATCATCATTTATTAAATATGCAGCGATGATGCCTATGTGCCAATATCGATTGTTCTAACAGCCAAAAAAATTTAATTTCAAGTAAATTCCCCTAATTATCTGCATTAAGCAAAACAAAAATAAAAAGAATCATTAACTTTGTCCATGAACATACTCCCCCCCCCTTTCGTGGATTTTCAAAATTTTCAACAATTTAATGAAGATCGAATTTTGATGGAGACAAATATTTGAAATTTTGATCATTCATAAACCTTCCCTGTGGTCACGTGATGTCCCACAAAAAATTTGGGCCCGATCGGTTCAGCCGTTTTGACGTTTATTGGATACAAACAAACAGACAGACAAGCCAAATTTATATATAGATAGTCAATGTCATTACAATTAGATGTTCTTTCAATAGAAAAAAGGGTATGGGCAATACATTTTTACTTCTAAATAATGTCATTTCTATATTAGATTTATTTAAGATCTTAACATATACTACATTGACGAAAAATGAAAAAAAATGTTGAAGGTTATAATGTTATTCTTTTTAAATTAAAAACAATGTCTGCAATAAATGATTTAGTTATTTTTATTTGTATGACACCCAGCCTGGAGACATGCATCCAACTTGGTTGGTGTTCTTCGTCTCTCCTCGTTCTTCACAGCTGAATTTCGAGCATATATAGCCGACACAATCGTTATTGACAACCTCCCCCTCCCCTTGGAACACGCACCTGTCGAGCTCTATGAGGATGTTATTGAAGCTGAACACCTGCGTCCAGATGGTGATGTTAGAAATCCTGCCAAATAATTTACTGATTTTTATCAACTAACTTACAGCTGAAAGTTAAAATATGGAGACAAACTGAAATTAAAGATAGAATTTCTTCTAACTGGAGTTTTCCAGCTTGCTTGATTTTTAAAAAACTCAATTTTTGAAAGCTTTATATTTAGTTTTTACAGGCATTTGCATCCGTTTTGATGTTATTTTTTTTGCCTGGAAATAATTTTTGGTTATTTGTGCACAAGTAAAAATTTTCTGTATCATACATTCATTTATGGTTTCTTTAGTCTTTAGCTCTTCTCAAGACGGAATATCTATTCAGAGCTGGGATCTTTAGAATAGTGGATATCGGGATTAATGCTTGATCCACTCTTTTTCTTAATCTCCAGATTAAATATTGCTTGTTCTCCTCATGAATTTAATCTCCAGATTAATTAACAGATCGGGATTAAGGATATCACATTCTAAAGTTTTCAGCCCAGAACAGAGTTTTATGATCGATCATATGATGTACGACAATGACATTATTATTCCTTTTGTTATAAAGGAAAAATTAAAAGGTTTTTTTTTGATATTTTTCAAATGCAAAATATCTTCTCAATAACTCTTTAGAAGTAGAACCAAGTCATGTTTCAAAACAAACAAAATATCTATCTAAAATAAAATAATGTTTAATAATAGAAAATAAGTTCAAACTCTTTTTTTCTGTCTTGATTCATAAATTTTAACATTTTCTGAGGTTTTAAGGTAAACAATTGCTAAATTAGACACGGGTTTGTTAAAAAAACAGGACTTAGAAAATAATAAAATGTTGATTTCTTTAAAAAATGTTTTTGAATGCTAAAGCCAAGCTTTAAAGATTTTATATACGTTCCACTCAGTGATCCTGGAATCCATGACCATACCGCATACATTCATCTTTGACGGGCGGAATTTTGGTAATTTCAATTTGGTAATTACAATTTGGTAATGACAATTTGGTAAGGTGACAATTTGGTAAGGTGACAATTTGGTAACGACAATTTGGTAATTACAATTTGGTAAGCTCACAAAAGTGACAATTTGGTAATGACAAATTGGTAACGTCATAAAAGTGACAATTTGGTAATGACAATATGGTAACTACAAAAAACTGACAATTTGTTGATTAACGTTGAATTTAATTCAATTTAATGTTTATTAATTTGCTGTTTCTCACATTATTTAGGGTTAGGTTAGGTTAAGACAATTTCTGGGCCGAGCGCTGCGGCTAGGATGGACTTGGGGGCCGAGCGCTGCGGCCTATTAAAAGTTTAATAATGTGCTGTTTCTCTCATTATTTTGGGTTAGGTTAGGTTAAGACAATTTCTGGGCCGAGCGCTGCGGCTAGGATGGGCTAGGGGGGCCGAGTGCTGCGGCCTATTTAATGCTAAATAATGTGCTGTCCCTCTCAATATTTTGGGTTAGATTAGGTTAGGTTAGGTTAAGACAATTTATGGGCCGAGAGCTGCGGCTAGGGTGGGCTAGGGGGCCGAGCGCTGCGGGCTATTAAATGTTCAATGATGTGCTGTTTCTTACATTATTTTGGTTTAGGTTAGGTTAAGACAATTTCTGGGCCGAGCGCTGCGGCTAGGATGGGCTAGGGGCCAAGCACTGCATCCTCTTAAATGTTAAATGTTGAATATAAAAGGGACAGTTTGGTAACTACATATAAAAAGTAACATTAATAACTTCCCAACATTGACATACATAAAGTCCGTTCTTGATGTAGTATTTAAATCCTTCTGAATTTTGTAACATTTTGCCACCCCTAGAATAAGTAATTCGTGATCCAAGTCTCCTCTTCTTGCAGTATATGACACAAGTACAGGTTGAAACGTTTTCAGAAAATATTGCGAATTTTTCAATTATTTTTGGCGCATTTCTTTCAATGCAGAAATAAAAGATTCCTAGAATCAGTTATCTTCAATTGAATATAAAACTAAAAATTAAACAATTTTACGTAATGTCACTTTTATTTCGTATAGCAAATTGTCACTTTTATGACGTTACCAAATTTTTATTACCAAATTGTCACTTTTTTGTTGTTACCAATTTGTCATTACCGAATTGTCACTTTTGTGGGCTTACCAAATTGTCATTACTAAATTGTCGTTACCAAATTGTCACCTTGCCAAATTGTCATTACCAAATTGTCATTACCAAATTGTCATTACCAAATTGTCATTACCAAATTGTCATTACCAAATTGTCATTACCAAATTGTCATTACCAAATTGACATTACCAAAAATCCGCCCTACTATATTTATACCGGATTATTTTTCAGATCAATGGATGTCATTCAGATGTTTTAAAAATCATCTTTGTAGTTATTGTAATGAGTGTTCTCCCGAAGTTTACCAGCTTCGTTCGTTTTCAATATTTTCGACCAATTTTGGGGTCTTGATGGTCTTTCCAGCCCGGACATGTCATAATCCTTCAAATATTCATTTTTCCCTTCTTAACCCAATTAAACTACCATTAAAGTTCATAAAATCGTTTTAAAATACGTTCTGAGCTGAAAACTTTAGAATGTGATATCCTTAATCTCGATCTGTTAATTAATCTGGAGAACAAGCAATATTTAATCTGGAGATTAAGAAAAAGAGTGGATTAAGCATTAATCCCGATATCCACCATTCTAAAGTTTCCAGCTCTGGATTATTTTGTCTTTGCATCGTCTAATAATCTAATAAAAACATATTTAGGTAACTAAGCCTCCAAGTGTCCTCTTCTAGATATTCCTATAGCTGTGACAATACAGCAAATCCACCTCCAGGAGAAAACTCTTTACATCACAACAGCAATTTGCTTGACGCCAATTTCTGGCCAAAAATGTATCCACTCCAGTAAAGATATAGGGAACTTTAAAAAATATTTAGAGCCGAGACTTCAAGAAGTACCCCTAAGAAAATTTTAGAGAAACTTAAAATTTTAGCGAAACAGTGCAAGTGGTTTAATAAAGCTCTTCGCTAATATATTGTATTTATATATAGCTGGCCGAACGGCTGAACCAAATTGACTGAATTTTGTTCAGGAACCCATGGGTACCATGG